GAAATAGATATTCTTAGTTTGAGATATTTTAGAAGGAATTGTATGATTTTCATACATTTCAAGTACTTCTGAAGACTATTTACATATATCATGACTCTAATTGACCCCAAAATGGCACATCTGTTCCTTTAATAATATAAGTGTATTTTGAATTTGAGAACAGTAGTAGCCTTTTGGAAGCTCTTTCCAGTTTTTCAAGCAAACTACATATGTTTTGTCCCCATAAGTTTTCAATTTGGTATTTGGTACCCTTTAGAATTGTTATGCATTTGAGCTTGTAGTGACAAATTAGGCCCATTTTCCCATCATAGAAAGGATAGGATATTTCATTGATACACAATGGAGAAAGTATCACCCTTTTGTATAATGAGTTATGAAAGTTTCTATATAGTATATTATTTTTGAAATAATTTTCATATCATTTCTCGTGCAGAAGAAGAAACTAAGAATCTGTTGAAATTCTTTTTTTAGAAGGTATAGGAAGTAAGATGAACTGTAAATGAATTAAGAATTGAAGTTAAACAGGTTCAGTAAAATGTCCTTGTTTACATGGTTTGAAACAGAATTTGCATCTTGTTGTTATTTACATTATTGACATTATGTGGCCCTATCAACAACATTTGAAATATAAAGAGTGGGTGTGAATTAAAAGGTTTCTAGTTTGTGAAAACATTTTAAAGAAAAGTAATGCTAGGCCTTCTTTACCAAAATCTAGAAGAAAAAATTAAGTAAAGAATTATTTCTGAATAAGTTGAAAAATTATAGAGAGATTTTGATTTATGTAATTTCCAATGAAATTATTGATTAAGATGTATTTACTTCTCTCTGAGTAAATGTAGAACTGTCTGCAATCATCTTATGACCTAGGAATTTGATTGTCGAGCTAGACCCTCAAACATCAAATATTAAACTCACCCAGAGCAAGTTAATGGTTTCATTTTGCCACCATAATTGTATGAAATTTGATCAAAATAAGTTTTTACGCTAAAAGGTTATGTAAACCTATAAAATTTATAAAAAGAAACATTGTGATAGGAAAATCAATATATTTAGGTATGGTACACTTTGTATTTGTTATGTTTCAATAATTTCAGTGTTTTTTTGATTGACATTTAAGCTTATATGAAAGCATTAAATATGAACTTGTTAATAGTTTCAATTTCAGAACTTGTTAACATTGTAGGCTAAATTTAAGAAATTCTTTGAAAATGTTATTTCTTCCCCAGAGAGGAGTTTTAATAACTGTGATTGATTAGTTGAATTTTTCACCCTAGTTATTCTTAAAGAATAAAAGGAAACATCTTAGGAAACTAAGGTCAACCTTGCTTCTTGTGACTGGAAGAATTGGAAATGACTATCAGCTGGAAGCATCTTGGACCATCACAGCTTCCATATCCAAATGAACTCATTTAAATCTCAAAGATCTTGTCTACCATCTCTCCAGCTCATGCTCTTGAAATGCATTGATCTTTCATGAGTTTTTGAAACATACCAGTACGGTACGCTTTTATCGCTGGGTTGAATAAAATTATATTGAAATATATAAGGTCTAAGGTATAAGACTTTTGCATGTCAACTTGGATAAGAACCCACAAACACTTTCAGATGTGATGATGTCATTAGCTTTCAGTTCACTCAAAAGACTAAGCTATGTACAGTTTGTCTACACAGGGGGTATAACAGCTGTTAGAAAATGAAAGTTTATATATTTGATTAGTTATTAATAATAATAGTACAGGGAGGATGTTTATAATTTTACCCTAGCTTTTCTAGAACATTAATAATCAATAACTTCACCAACTATAATCTCATTAACTCATAAAAAACAGAAACATTCCACGAAACCACTACTAGAACAACTTTATATCTGGGCTATACAAAACTTACTACAGTTAAAAAAACTAACAAGAAAGAACGACATGCTCAATTTCATTTGTACCTGCTTTTACAATGTGTTATTTTCTTATCTTAGCTAAAAGGAAGTATGAATATGATCATACTATTTATGAGAGAAGGAAAATATTGTCTGTCCATCTTCACCTGCATTCAGGATAAATAATTTTTTTTTTCAATAACATCATGTGATATGTTCAAAAAAACACTCATATTGACCACCTCAAACACTCAAACACAATTGAAACTTGAATTAAATTTGGCAATGGTCACTTGGAATTGGAGAATCCAAGTTAATTTAATCATTTACCCAAATTTAGGTTAATTTTTAGTCATATCATTTTCTTATGATAATGATCAACCCTTTTGGAGTTCTAGAGAATAACTTGAATATTTCGACTGTCTCTTAAGTAAACTTGTTGAATTATGAATGAATAAGCTTATGTGTGGAGTAAGTGGAGTAAAAGGTAAATAAATATTAAGATTTTAGTAGAAAATCTGGTTTGAATTTGAAGTGTGGGGTGTAACAAGTTTATGCTAACTGAAACAAACAAAAGCTTTAGTTACATGTACTATCTTCTATTTTCCAAAATAATGAAATACAGTGGAGTTTTACATCCTGTGTATTGAGGGATATTTTTTCTCAGATGGACATTAGCCATATCTTTATCAATTCCTATCTGTCCAGGTATTTCAAACATCCATATCTCACAGACATATCTGAAGGACTGGATGCTTTTTCCGTGTCAGCCTTCCGATCTGAATTACTGATACAGGAAAAGTCTGTACACTTCTAGAGAAATCTAGTCTAATTGGTATTAATGTTAAAAATGAAATTATCAACAAGTTCATAGGTGATATTTTCTAGTCTTTTATTGAGATGATTGAAAGGGATGTAGTCATCTAAATATTTATTTTACCAGCTGATAGAGCTCATTCATAATTTGATGCATGGTTTGTCAACCTGGAAATTGTCTTCCCATATGCGATTTCTTTTTGATTTATTTTGGAAAGTGATTTGGCAGTGATGCGGCTCTTATTGATGTAAATTTACTATTGTTGCATATCTCGTGAAATATTTCCGATTTAAGTGTAATATAAAGTTAGATATAATTTTGTTGTTACTCCCATTTCATGCTATATTAATAGAAAGTAAACTAGAACAATAGTCAATCAGTAACATATGATTATCATCTATTATTCTACAATTAGTCACAATTGTTATTAGTAGTATATGACACTGTATGTATAGAAATAATTGATAAATACATATTCAAGATGGTACATTATTATGTTATATAGAAAAAATAATCAGAATATTAATATCATGAAATCAGATCAAAATTAAATTGATCTCCGGAAATATTTTTGGCAGAATATGTGTAAATTTTTTGGTAATGTAAAATGGTAACTGTTCTGAGAACCATTCCCTTCTGACCAATGTTAAGGAGGCGGTCTCAGAAAGTTCTCAGAACAGACTCAATAAAATAGTGTAATGTAACTGTTCTGCTGTGCTTGTTAATACGTGACTTTCACCTTTTCCCTCAGAATTACATTGTATTTTGTGCCATTGTTGTTAACATCAGGATTACTATTACTACTAAATTTGACTTCTTCAAGAAGAGTTCCACTGGTTAGGCTTTTTGCAAACCACTCTAATATAACTGACCAAGAAGGGAAGCTTTATAGCAGCCTGATGAAAACTTGTTGTCAAAGTTGAGAATAAAAAGAGGTAGTATTCCAAAAAATGAATAAGGATTTAAATTCTCACAGTATAGATTGACTTGATAATAAAAGTCATGTTCACTAGAGAATTGAAGAGAAATTTGACAGGTGGTCTCGCTGTTTAATTTGACTGTTAATTGGGTACTTTGATAGTGTTATTGATTTTAAATTTATTCTTTATGTTTTATGTTTACAATCTAGAGTTTATGTCATGTACATGTAGACATTGATAAAGAGCATATTTTATTAAAGTTTGTATTGTTTTTCTAGCAAACCAATGCATTAAAGGGACAGGTGCGCTATTTTTTTCTTGGACTTATCATACTTTAGTTTCAGAAACAGGAATTTTTTTAGCTAAGTATATCAGTAATAGTATCTACAGCCCACTGACGAAATATGAGCCTTTAAATCCACTTGTGTCTAGAATTATCTGCGTTTGAATGTTAAATGACGACTCGTCAATTTAAGATACTCTGTGAAGAAAAGAAATATAGGAATAGAGAGAAGAATTCCTAGTTTGAAGTATTCTTAAAGGAATTATGCGATTTTTGTACATTTCTAGTCAACCCCCTTAAATTGCTCTCATATTATTTTCAATCTATTTTGATGAATTTGAATAGTCTTTTGCTGAACCAACTTCATTGTAAAGTAGTTGTGATGTATCAAAAGCTTTAGTCTGTTTTTAGGCCATGATAAAGCAACTGTTCCAGGTCCAGCAATAAAAATGCTTATTTCCATCACAGTAAAATAAACTTTCTTAGAACATTTACTTTTGTATATTGTAAATATAAACTGTTCTCTGAATGCTCTTCTGTGGAACTCTTTTAAAGTAAAAATCCGTTCTTGTGGAATATTTCAATGAATGCATAATTTTAGTAATTTTAACAAGGTTTATGAATCTGTTTTCATGTTAATTTATGCAGTCTCTTGTACAAAAAGGTATTTAAAGATTACCATTTGTGAAGCTGTCTTTACCATTCTGAAGAAGAAAAATAATGAACCGGTTTGCCATAATTAGGGACATCAGTTTTGAATAGTGTTGACAACCTGAGTTATGGTAAAGTGTACAAAATACATTATATTTAAATGAATATTTTAAAAAATTTCAATTTTTGTATTTTCAGAATAATTCAGGAAATGGAATAAAGGATCTCAATGAAAATGTCTTCCCAAACGATGGAATTATTGTTGATCGTGATGAACGAAATGTGGACGCTGAATCGGAGAAATCCAAAGACTCTGTACAAAATGACTACAAACTTCAAGACATAGCCATTCCAAGAAATCCTAAACTATTTTTTAAACCTGCTAAAGTGCCAAATGAAGATAAAGTGATAAAAAGTGAGGATAAAAGTGATAAATTTATTCAAAATGAAGGTGAAAAAGTTCATTGGACAGATTTTGAGGGAGATAAGTATGTGGATAAAAAACGTGTGAAAGAAGGAGAAGATAGTTATTTAAAAAATAAGTTTAATCAACTAGCTAGTGATAATATTAAATCTGATCGCAGTGTTCCTGATACAAGACATTCTTTGTAAGTATTCATATCTTCTCATTTCAAACTCTTCAGTTAGTCCAAAGAGGAGTGAGAGCAAGTCTTTCTCACTATGATTCATAAGAATAGGTTTGTTGAGATATTCAGGTTTTACAACTTGCGTTACTCTCCAACCATAGTGATTTCAGAATGCACTTTTTATGTCATTTCACCAAAAATTTAAAATGTGTTTGATGGTAAAAAGTAGACCTAAAATATCCTTATGTTAAAGGGGCATGTTAAAGGAAATTTTTTTTGGAATTGTTTTTTAAACCATTCAAGCAATCTTATACTGTTAGTACTATATCAGAATTGATATTCCAATTCATTTAAATATAATAAGAAAAATGTGATTTTGAAGGGTTCAGTAATGGAGGTTGTCAGTACTCACAAAACAAAAGTGCTACATGTTACATCAGAGAATACACATCAGAGATCTCTTAAAATTAGAAATTGAAAAAGGACTCTAGGCTAATATTGCTGTATTGGCAAACTTTCTATCATTGCACACTGCATAGCTTGGGTTTCTTTATATTGTAATAATAATAAGGCGACACGGGTGCTCATGTTTGAATATAATGTAAAATAGTCTACAAGTCTGGAATTGCAAAATACTTTAGTACTAGTAATCCTGTTTTCTAGCAATGTCAAAATATGACAAATTATGATTGTCATAGATTTGAAATGTTGTTTTAAAACTTTTTTAGATGTCGAGATAACCAATGGAAAGTAGATTTACCAGCTACTAGTGTTATAATTACATTTCATAATGAGGCTAGATCTACATTACTACGTACAATTATAAGGTAATTATATGAATCATAGTTTGTATCTGGTATTCATATATATCATAGCACTGGTGGTTTTTATCATTTGACTATTCTACCATAGCATTCCATTTACTTTTGAACATTCAATTAAATATTTGTAACTAGATGTAAATTGCTCTTTTTAGACTACCGTACTTAGAGACTTTCTGGAAGAAACAGCAATGGCTCAGTGATTAAGACTCTCACCTGATGGTCTAGGGTTCAATCCCAGCATATATATGTCCCAGTTATACCTTTTTGATTTGTTCCCCATTGCACACTTCATGGCAATGCCAGCTTTCATTGGTCAAGTGCAGATTAGTAACTCCATTTCATCTTAAAGTCTTTAAATGGCATTTAGCAATTGTAAGCACAATATATAGACACAGCTTTATGGGACAACAATCACTGGTTAAAGTTTTATGCAATGTTTCGATGTGTTTCCCCCTGTTGTCATGTTCCTGAGGAGGACGGGGGAAACAAGTCGAAACATTGTATAAAACTTAAACCAGTGATAAGCTGTGCCTATATATCCATTTCATCTTATTTCAGTGTCTTTCTGAGAAGTCCTGATAATTTAATAGAAGAAATTATATTGGTAGATGATAACAGTGTAGATCGTAAGTGTTTCATTATCTTTCATGGCTTCTGTGGTTCAGGTAGTTTATGTTTAGCTCTATGGAGGATGGTTATCTGGTTCTACTTATTCAGGTATTTTCAGTCGAATGAGACTGCAACTTTAGGCTCTATGATCCCTTAAGCAATCAAAATGCTTTAAGTAATGTTTTTGTACTCTCTATTTGTAGCCTCAGATGGATTAGAATTAACTACAATAGAAAAAGTAAAATTGATACGCAATGAACAAAGGGAAGGTGAGTTTCAGTTTAAAACTTAAATAGTTTCTAACTTCAATAGCAGGAAAGAAAGAACGAAACAACTATATTTTACAAGGATTACAACTTAGATTCACAGTTAAGGATCCTTTCTACCAGCTGGTCCTTGGTCAAACCTCTTGGCATTGATCTTTCCCAAATTTTCCGTACCCACTTACATCTAGGTTGACTGGGATTATGAGTGAAGATGATTTATTCGAGGTCATCAGAGTATCACACGCCGATCGAGAAGTATTTATAATTGATGCATAGTTCAACTTTGATATCTCTATTACTAAGTCAGCTAGCCTCCAGAGACTGGGGCTACATATTCACCTTATGTTGAGATTCAGAATTCAGCAACTCCTAGGAAGTGCATAGGTGCATGGAGCTCCTTCAAAAAAAATTGAAAAAAGAATTGATTTAGTGCATTCTGACAAATGAAATCTAAAATCTAAGAGTCAAATTTATGATTTTTTAAGAAATGAAGTGGGGGTACAAACCATTTTATCAAAAGGGGCAAATTCAGCCCCTGTACCTTCAATGGCATGCCCCCTACTTGAACTATGTGTGAGTAAGCCACTAAAGTCATTAAATGATATATGTGTAATGAACAAACTTTTCACTTAACATGACATACAAGAACATAACATTATACAAAAAAAACTCACTGGAAATTTAAGTCTTTAGAATTATTATTCAGCTTCATTCTTATATTTTTATTTAACTCTAATGGTGCGGGCACATGAGTACCCGTAGTCTTGATCAAGATTCTTGAATCTTGAGTAAAATCTCACGTGTGCCCAAGTTATCTTGTTCCTGACAGAATTGATCATATCAAACATGTTTGATAATTGTCTCCGATTATTTCTATCGTCTGCAAGACAGAGAGTTAGTATCCAATCAGATTCATTTCTCTTCAAATTGCATGATCCGCACCTGATTATCGACATAGTGGAAAACGACTGACTGGAGAATTTTGCTTCCTTGTGTGCCGACAGCCGGTCAGTCTTGACAAGACTCTAGTCAAAAATCGCAGACCAAGACTGTTCTTGTGACTGCACCTTTAGACTTGTGCAATTATCTCACTTTACACTGTAGAATATTGAGTAATGTATTTAGTGTAATGATACAGAGTTCTGTGGTTTTATGAGTTGAATAATGGAATCCAATGCTTTTAAGAAATATATGAAATATCAGAATTTTTATTGGAGCCCAGCGGTGATTTTATGTTTAAAATAATTGATAAAGCAAGCTTAAGTGGTCTAAAGTTTAATTGAAGTGAAACTCTCTTGAGTAATATAATGTAAGAAATTGCCATAGTGAATTTCATTTTGTCTGGCAGGATGAACCGAATATATATGATAAAGTACCTTCAATTTTCTTTCAGTATTAAATGTTTGAAGGCTTATTTTGAATATTTAAGAATTAAAGATTGGTCTCATGAGCATTCATTATTGGTGTGTAAACGCAATAGATCATGTGACAAACTGAATAAATGAGGAAGGGAGTGATAGTAGAAATGTAAATATATATATAAAAGATTGGCAGTGAAAAAATTGCTGGTATTTACTATGGCAATAATTATCAGATGCCCAGAATGAAAGTCCATGTAAACACAATAGCAAAGTGGTATCAAGTGTTCAGAAGAGTTCAGGTTGCACCTTCTGGTAGATTAAGTACAAATGTGTGCAAATAAGCATTCAAGCGTTAATACACAGCCTTAAAGGGACATTCCGTTTTTTTTTTGTAGTTTGTAATTTTTTTTTTGCTCAAATTTGTTAAAACTATACATGAAAATCTAAAGAAATTAGCCCTTTAACTATATATATGAAAGTTTTAACTAAAAGAATCCAGCCGTTAATTTTTGAATGCCATATATATTTAAAACCGTTATGTTAGGCTTTTAGGTTGTTCATGCTTTTTGACAGCTGTTTGAAAACTACTGTATGAATTTGAGTGAAATAAATGCCTAATTGTAGAGATATTGAGCCATTTTAAAGGCAAACACCAAATTTAGGTGAAAATGCTTAATTAACAATTAATACTCTCCATTTTTAATCAAACCTTTTAAAACAAATTCAGTTTGATCAAATAGATGCATAAATATAAATAACATACTTTAGAAACATTTTCAGGTATAATTTATGACAAAGAAGCAAAATATCCTTTAAAAAATGTCCAATCATTAAATACCAGAGACTTACAAGGAATAAAAGTAAGCTTAACTAGTGACAGCATAGGTAATGTAACCGGGGGTATCTTTATGACCAGTCTTTAATAGAACTTTTGAATCTTACATTGGGATCGTTCCTACCTGGTCTTTGGGAGAATAAAAAAAGTATATGACATGCCTAGGAATACTCATGTAAAATCCTGTACACAGCTAAGAAAAAAATTTATAAGCAATTTAGCAGTTAATTACTTGGTAGGAAGATGTGTTGATAAAGATCTAACAGTTGGTAGTAAACTGAAAGTGATAGTCCATGATCTTGAGATAGATCTTCAATAGATATGTCACTAGTATTTAGTTTGATAAATTAAACATGTTAATTTGATAGCTTAATTATAAACACTATACTTGACTGTTGATATATCAAAACCATATGGATTAATTTAAAGAGAAATTCCCTCTTCTATTTTCACTTTCTCATCTGGCAAAATAATCTAGGTGTCTTTGCACTCCAGTTCGTAGATTGAATTTTACCGATTGTAATAGGAATTCAAACATCAACTTTTATATAGTCTTTGAATGAATTTACATTGATATAAATGCCAGTAGATGTTTGTTTTTACTGAAGGCAATTTCTGAAGAGGGAAGTGTCGTTATTTAAATTGTGATAATACAAAACTGAATATTTAAAGAAAGACAAATTCATTATTTGGCTTTGATAACTATTTTTGGTATATATTCGTTCATATTCACTTAGAAATAATTGGTAAAAATTTGATTTATGGACAAGAGTGATGAAGATAGTATTCCAAACCACTGCATTGATTTATTTGGACAATTCCTAAAATTTTCCAATAGTTTGTGTTTGGTGCAATATAATATATGAAAAAAAAACATTTAAAGGAGCTCCATCACTATCCGTTCAATCATACCTTAGTTTCAGAAACAGGAATATTTTTAGCTTACATAATCAGTAATAGTGTTCACAGCTCATGGTCGAAATTTGAGCCTTCAAATCCATGTGTATCTATTATCAATCACATTTGAAAGTTAAAAATTTGACTCGAATTTTAGTGAGACTATGCTATATTATAGAAAACACATATATAGGAATAGACAGTGAAATTTCTAGTTTGAGGTATATTTGAAGGGATGATGCAATTTTCGTGTATTTTAGTACTTCTTAAGACTATTAAAGCACAATAAAGACCCAAATCTATCCCTGAAAATGACAACTGTTCCCCTTTAAGTCTCACATGTATTACAAATATTATGTAAGACATGTTTGTTACTATTTAAGTGAATATGATGATTTTGATATAGGTTATGTAATATAAAACTGAAACCAGTTCAAATTTGACTTTTTTAAACAAATTGAAAGAATAAAGAATGACAAATGAGTTCGCTTCGAAAATTTTTAACACAAAAGCAAAAATAACATTCATCTTAAAACATTTAAAAATGTTTGATCACTGTAGCTGTGATTTTTTTTAAATTTGTGTTTCACAAACATTTTAAGAACTATTTTGTTAAGAGAATTAAAAACATGCAACATTTTGTGTTGTCTATTGGCTTAACACAGTCTGTTGACATTTTATACACTCTATAATCCTGTTTGTTTTCTGGTCATAAAACTGTTTTCTTATTAGAAATGTTCGACTTTATGCCAAAATGACAAAAATTAACCTTAAGTGTAAATTTTGTTGTGTAATAGCCCAGATTTGAAAGGGCCAAATTATAGATTTCATTGTTGATTCTAGAATGGTGTGTCAACATGTTTCAGAAATATTTACTAAATTTAGTTGTAGAGTCCTCTCATGCAAAATTTAATATCTCTAATAGTAATAGAATTTGGAATAAAAAGTGATAATTCCATGTATTAGGCCTAGCTAGTGTTTGTGTCAGTAAATTTCCCCCTTTCAGCTTCATAAGATTTTGATATGGTTTTCAGTCATAGCAAAATCTGGTAGTTTCAGAACTATACTTATCTTGTAGTTTAAATAAAACCGTTCACTGCATGCTTGCCTTGTGGAACTTTTCTTAAAGAAGTTGAATTAAGTGTAATTGTCATCTGCTTGTAAACACCATTAGTGCTGAAAATTAAGAAAAAAATGGTGACAGTTATGATACGTTCTAATGAAACCTCAGAACACTAGCCACTTACATAACACCAGTTTGTTCTGACCACCAAAAGGTGACCATCATGAGGCTGCCAGAATTAGCTTCATTATTCACATATTTTCAGAGATAACTGGCCTGTTTGCTTTAAAGATCTTTTATGACCACAAATGTTTTTGGTAATGTAAATGGTTATTTATCATTATTAGGTGTATATTTTGAAGCTTTGGTTAATAATTGCCAATACCTTGGAAGTGCTTTGCCTTTGCATTAAAGATTCTCAAATATTCTGTTGCTTATGGAAATGTGTTTTGCCTTGGACTTATAGATTCTCAAATATTCTGCTGCTTTTATGGAAAAGTGCTTGGCCTTGGACTAAAAAATTTCTGAAATATTCAGCTGCCTTGCCTGAGAATTAAAGATTCACAAATTTTCTTCTGCTTATAGAAAAAGTGCTTTGCCTGTGACTTAAAGATGCAAAAATTTCTTTGCTGCTTATAGAAAAGTGCTTTGCCTGTGCAAAAATTTTCTACACTGCTCTTAAAAAAAGGTGCTTGCCGAATATATTCAACATGTGAACAACAGTTCTTGATGCCCACTTTTGAAATGCCAATAGCTGCTCTGAAAATTTTAGGTCAGTTGTATTTTACACTATGGTAGAAATGGTTTTAAGTGTGAAATACATGTGTTGAAATGTTATATATTTGAT